TGCCTCTTCCTGTTTCCCTGAGGTGTATCCCCGATTCTGGGGGCCGGAGATTAAACTACCAGCCAGGAGGGTGAGAAGTCTGGAAAGAATGGTATGTAGATGAATGGCAGAAGTCCTTAAAAAGGGAAGCTCCTTTTTCTTAGAGAGACTTCTCCTGAGAGCTCTCTCCTAAGTGGACTGGGGTCTCCTCCTAAGCTGACTTGGGAAGCATAAAGTTTTCTTAAAGCAACCGACCGGTCTCTGTGTCATCTATCCTGATCACCTCGCTACATTCTCGGATGCAGGCCGCACAGCAGGTGCGACAATGCCCGGGGCAATAAGTTCCTGGAAAAGGCCTGCCCACTGAAACTGCCCTGACTTTGACCTTGTCCAAAGACTAACCTCCTCTTCTGACAGGCCCAGATCAGTTTTTGGTGTCAGAGCAGAACCAGCCAGGGTAGAGGAGAGAGCAGAAGCTTCTCTGGAGGGAGCCTTTCTTAGGAAGTTTTCTTGAACCTTTTTGGGGCCTGCTTAAAGTTTTCTTTACATCGTTGAACGAGTCTCTGTGTTGTCAATCCCCGACACCCTCCGCACTTTCTCGGACACAGGCCGCGCAGCTGACGCGACAGTCAACAAAGCTAAAAGGAGTTGGAAATCTGAAGAGCATTTTGACATCAGACATAGAGATGCAGAGCTTGGAGTTTGCACAGTTGGTTTTCTGTCTTCGGGGCAGTATTTCCTCACTATGCTCCCTTCTCTATTTTTTGAAACAGTAATAAATATCCTCTGACATTATATGTTAGAAGCATGTGATCTACTTTTTGATTTTGACTTTACAGGGAATTACAGTTATAAGATAGCATGAATCTCAGAGGAGATTTTGGGTCTGCCCTCAGGTCTCTCTCCTGGTGAGTATAGACAGGTCTAAGACTCCAACAGTGGAAACCTCTGGAAAGTTTGGTCTGCCCCAAGTCTCTGGGGGATTCAATGGCTTCTACAGCTAGAAAGGTGGCCCCGTGGTAGAGTGCTTACTGCTCTTAAAAAGACCTAGTTTGGTACCCAGCACCCACACCAGGCAACTCACAAGCACTTGTAACTCTAACGTTGGGTGACCCAACTCCCTATTCTGGTCTCCTCTAAGACCCTTAAAATACAACACACAATCACATACAAATACATAGGTAAAAATAAAAATAAAATAAATTCTAAAAACAAACACACACACAAAAACATCTAGCTTCCCTGGAAGAACTAGTAATGTTTCTGATCATAAATAATTCCTTTTCTTTTTTAAAATAGCAAAGAGAAATACATTTAAGAAAAAAAAAGAATAAAATGGGAGTTGAAACAATTGATAAGTAGAGTCTATTCTGAGAGATGTAATGATTTGGGAGGGAGTATACATCTCGAGACAAGCTCCTGGAGTGAAACTCCTGTCTGAAATAGGTGATCTACTTAACCTTCTCATTGTGTAGTTTTCCTTTCAGACAAATACTGCTACTACCTAGCTAATTGTCATAGTTTTCCTATCAGATGAATATTGGCTAATATCTACTTAATTTAGTTGCAATTGTAGTGACTAAGTTTGCCTTCTAAAGAGTTTCAGAAATAATAAGTACAGAATAAATGCTACCAACAATATTTCAGTTTTGTACCCTGTACACATAAACACCAAAGCCAATAGAATACTCCTTGAAAAAAAATGCCCTCTAATTTGCTCATTCATTGGACATATAAAATCTGGTAAACATTTTCCTTAAATAGAACATTAAAATTCACACTTTATAATTCTCTCGTTGTCTCCTCTGATTACTCAGAACAAGGACTTTGATCTAAACCTTTTAGCCCTTATATTCATATTCTAGTGACTTTAACAAAGAAACCATCATACATAAATTGAGGTATTTATGAACATAATAAAGATGCCTTTTTTGTTCTGTCTCTTGACAAAACTCTTTCTGATCTGAAGTAGATTCTTTTGCTAAAACAATTTAGATATCACTAGAATATGATATGAGAATAGTCATGGTATGAGAATAGTCATGTGAGATTAAAAGCATATGACATATTGACAATTTTGAAGAATAAAAGGATACAATGTTCATAAAGAAAGCCACAGCAGAAAAATGAATTACTTGGCACCAGGCTATCATCTTCACATCATCCCTATCAGCTAACAATTACTCCATGTCTAGATCTATAGCAATATATGTCAAAAATCCTTTACATAACTGAGCTAGACTCCACTACCAATTGTAAATAATGAATTAATAGACTATTGGGCAAACTCTCTCAATAGAGTAATCAAGCTATCACGGTTCAAAATGAAGGAACAATGATGAAGACGAACTTCAATTATTAGCTTACATTAGGAATGAATAGAGGTAAAGCTGGTTTGAACAGACATGACAATTGTATAATTTGATAGCAACACACAAAATTGAAAGTAGAAAATTAAGTGTTAGTTATCAAAGCAGTATATGCTAGTAAAGAAAGGGCCATCACAACTTTTCTCATAAGCTGTGTGATAACAGTCATGTAATTGGGGGCAGAACCAACACAGTACATCTGCTTGTTGCTCTTCAATTCTACCCCTTCTGCACTTTACTGCACGTGGAAAAAAAGTTGACTGTAAGAAAATTTTATTACAGATGTTTAAAGAGTTAAAAGGACTATGTTAAGACGTCATTCAATTTTGCTACATTTTGTTAATTAATAAAAGGTAGAACTTTCTGAAGCAAGAATCTATGCCTGTGATCCCAGCTTCCTAGAAGGCTGAGTTAGCAGGATTGCAAACCTGAAGACATCCTTGGCAGCCTAGTTGCCCAGGAAACAAAGGATATCATGCTGGTTTTAGGCATTTATCTCCTCAACCCCTCTTGTCTAAGAGAGTTCCTCAGTTGTTCTTGGTCTCCTATGACCTTGACTTCCTGTAACACTCCTTCTGACTACTGTAAGGCAAGGTTCTGCTATGTAGTTTCAGGGTCACATTGAACTTTGACTAGAGATTCTCTTGTTCAGCCTCTCCAGTGCTGGGATCATCTACATGTGCCACCACATCTGTGATGACATTTTTGAGATGCACTCGTCAACTATATCCTAGAACTATCTCAATTGACCTTGACCAGTAGTGATGGTGGTGTCTGGGAAGTTTCCTTCATAAGGATTTGTGACATATATTGCTATATATTACTACTATTTCTTATGTAATGAGCATCTCCAAATAGATACTTTAATACTATGTAAATATACAGTTTTTCTTCAAATTGAGGTGATTCTATAGGATTTCAGAAAGAACTAACATATGTGAAATATAATGGGCAGCATGTTTTTGATATACTGAAACTCTACTTGATGAAATAATTTTTCTAAATTTAAAATAGATTTTCTAAATTCAAAGATTCTTTTTCCCACAACATTGCTGATTGGCCAAGCACGCTGTACGCACTGGCATACTCATGGCAAGTCTGTTGTGGAGGCAGCCAAGTACTTCCTAACTGGATTTGAGGTCTGTTCTGCAGGATGGAATTCACTTCAAGTGTTGTCAACCTGACCAAAGCCCTTGACTTATAAGGGCCATATGGGGGAAAATACAGCTGTTATTTTGCTAAATGGTTATGATATGCCTATTATAACTGCCTTTAAATAAAAATTTGTTTCCCCTCAAAATAATTATGCCTATCCCCTGTGTTGGTTAGATTATGTCAACTTAACACAAGATGGAGGACTCTCAATTGAGATTTAATGTCTACTTGAGACCCTGTAGGCAAGTCTACTAGGCATTTTCTTGACTGATGTGGGAAGTCCCAGTTCACTGTGGGTGGTGCCAACCCGGGACAGGTAGTCCTAAGAAAGCAGGGTGGGCAAGTCATGAGGAGCAAGCCAGTAAGAAGTGTTCCTTCATGTTCCTTCACTCTGCTTCAGTTCCTACCCCCAAGTTCCTGCCCTGACTGCCCTCAGTGACGGAGTATGACCCGGGAGTTATTGTAAGCTGAAATAAAACCTTCCTTCCCAAATTGCTTTTGGCCATGGTACTTTATCATAACAGCAGAAACACTAAGACATACCCATATGTTAATACTATCAGCTCTGATCAGAGATGCTTTTTTTTCTTAGTGATGTGACCAGTTAATGGAGAGAATCACAGTAATGTTAAATGTTCAACCACAAATGAGACATTTACATCATTCCCTCCAAGACTCAGAAAACATCATGGAATACAGGGCAGCAAGAATATAAGAGCTAGCACATGGGGTAGACACTGTTTTCTGGATATCAAATGGCTATTCACTCAAAGTTACAAAAGCTGATTACCTAATGAGACCTGCTCAAAATTAGGTTCACTGATACCCTGTCATGAAGTAGGGAAGACTTTGTAAGGCCCAATCCTGCCTGAAGAGGTATTGGCAGTTAATGGTTCATAGGATGGTGGTGGGAGGAAATATTTTCTCTAGTATTAGCCATTGGTGGAGTAAATATCTTCTCACCTATCTATGCTCTCATAAGCAACCCTAATGAAATTCATTGGGTAACCATTACCAACAACCAAACCAAACCAAAACAACAATGAAAACAAACAGAAAAATAGATTATGTACTCAATGGCAAGAAAAGGTAGATTAGCTGGAATGGCAAAAGTAATGGGAGATGAATATCATCAAAATGTATCATATATATGTATGAAGAGATCACAATGAAATTCATGGTAAGATATACAATTAATATATGTTCATAAAATATTTAAAATAGTTATTATTTTTAGTTATGTGTATGTGTGAGTATGTGAATAAGAATGCCTGTGTCTGAAGAGGACAAGGTGTTGGATCCTCCTGGAACTGGAGTTACTGGTAGTTATGAATCACCTGATGTGAGTGCTGGAACTCAAACTTGAGTCTTCAGGAAAAAGAGTATGATCACTGAAACATCGCTTTAGCCCAATACATTGTTTTGTATTCTCAGTGTATTCAGTTAGTATTAATCAACCATAATATCAAAGAATGACATAATTAAAACATTACTTACATAACTACAGTTTTTAAAGATATCTGATGGACTGGTGGTGAGGATTTTGTCTCCTTCCAAACCAATTACTCTTTTACAAATATTTGATTTTGGATCACTTGGGCTTTTTGCAATTACAATGTCACCTCTGAAGAGCGGGAAAAAAAGGGAAAGAAGTATTAGTATTATTACCAAGCATACATAGAATTGCTTTAATAATTTTATAAGGCAACTTAAAGAAATACACACCCTTTATCCTATCATATGCTGACCTTGCTATATGTTAATCATGTTTGGAAACCACTATAACTGAATTTAGTGTCAGAGCCCAATTGGAGTCATAAAAATTCCATATAAAATTACTGATAATTTCCAACAATCTCATGAGAATCATATCTACTATGTATTATTTCTATATTCAAGTATTACAAAAAAGCTATTAATAGTTGACTATAGAGCACTAAAAATAAGGAAACATTATTTATTTCTCAAAAGTTCAAAAATTAAAGAAAAACACTGTGTGACTTATGTAATTCATTTAAGCCATAATTATACAGTATAGACTTACATTTAAGGGAAAATTAGACACAACCAAATGAAACACTTAAAGCTAAGTATACATATACTATGAAACAGAATATGATGTCAAATATACAAAACCAATATTATTCTTACTATTTATAGAAGGCCCGAGTCACATAAAAAGTAATATTCTACATGGTAAGAGAAAAATAAATGAATACATAGAGGTTTTATTCCTGGCATGGTGGCACATGCCTGTAATCCCAAAAATCAAGAAGGGAAGAATTATAATTTGAAGGCTAGTATAAACTACAAAGCAAATTCAAAATCAATCAGAGTTATATAATGAAACTGTTTCAAAACACGCATACTTGCACACCTATCACTCAACTGATATCCCAACCAAACAGAATATAATGTTTTTTCTGCCCAAAACTAGGAATATATGTAATGTGTTAACATTTTTCAATATTTAACATATTTACTAACTATATGTGATTCCAGATGTAATTTATATACTTGATGTTATTTATAATGAAAGATTCAAATTTCAAAATAACATACAAATCCATAATAACAAAGAGAAGATTATAATTCAAAAACCTAATCATTGAAGTAGCCAAGGCAAACATGACTATTATTCTAGCATTTGGGAGGCTGAAGGAAGTTCAAGCCCAACTTGGGCTATGTAGTAAGGTGAAGGTTAACTTGGGCTACAAGACTTTATCCCAATAAACTAAAATAGAAAAAGAGAATAAAGCATGATTACTGCTACACTGTAAGCACTCAACAACTTCTAAGCATTTTGGTAACCCCCACCCTAAGGTAATAGGGTTGTGGATATTGCTTAATGGTAGAGTGGCTTGTCTGGCCTACCAGAGGCCCCATATTTGATTTCCAGCAACAAGAAAAGGGCAAAAGATGAGAATAATTAGCTACCATTAATAAAATTAGGTCTAGGGTAAGGTAAGACAAAATTTTCCCTAGCAGCTAAAATCAGGGAGGAATTCATAGGCAGACTTTTATGTAAAAGAATGAAGGGCACCATTATATCAGAATTTTACAGGCAACATGGAAATTAGTATTGACAACTATCACACCATGAGGCCTCTCTTTTAAAAGCTGAATGGTATTAAGCCATCCAGTTCTATAACTGGGCCAGGAAAGCACTGTTTTCTTTTGAAATGTCAGTAGAACTGTTTACATGAAAAACTTTGCAAAGATTTCTAAGCTATAACAACCTATCTAGTGTGTCTTGAAAGAAATTATTTTCAAGGGTGCTTATGCAGCTTATGTTATTTGATACAAAAATCACTATAACTCTTAAGACAAAGTCTGCAGCTAACCAGATACCCTGAACTTGTGCCTCCTTTGAAAGAACTTTTAAGCCCCACTAAATAAACAGAACAGAGTGTAAAATTCCTTTCCCACTATAGTTATTGTTGGTGTGGTGCTTTGTGACTCCCAGAACTTGGGAGACTGAGGCAGGAGGATCACTACAATAGTGAAACCACTCCAGACTAGATAGTATATATTACTCTATCTCAAAATCTCAAAAACAAATTATTAAAATTAAAATATAGTAATAAACACCCTTTCGGCCTCCTAGATGGTGAGCTGTTCAAATGCCAATGATTCACTCATTGTATCATTGCTATAATGTAAAACATAGTAGATGCCCATTAGTTATTTGTTGCAAGGATTAGTAATGTGAGATTGATTGTCTCAAGTAAGAATTCCTGAAGTTAAAGGACAGTAGACATGTGTATATTAGATACCACAGGTACAGACTTTTATTCTTACATAAAACAGAAGTCTGGTCTCCCCTTTTAATAAGCAGCCATCAATAAGGGTCAGAATTTCATCCCACTGAAATCTCAGCCCTAAGCTGTAGCAAACAGAATGAGGGCAGTGATATTTTTGAAGTAGCAGTATCAACTGCCTACCTTGGTTCTAAAAGTTATTTTATCATGCTCTATATGAATAACAGATTCCAAGGTATAGTACACACTGAGACCCCTGAATGAACAGAGCACAAAATGAAATCTTCAAAGATTTCCTGAACATACTTATTTATATTATTCACCTTATTGCTAAGAGTATTTTGGATAAAATAACACTAAGCTATTTATTCAAAAATCTACTCGGCCAGTCCAGCACACTGTTAAGGACATTTAAGAGTTACCATGTCAGTGGCATTCAGCAATAGCTTGCCTTCAAGCTACAATGAGGGCAAGTCAGTATACTATTTTTGGCAAAAGTCAAAAGATAAATGGAGATAACTAAGCCTGTTGTATACGTTTTAATTTACAATTCCAAATCTACAAGTATGAGAGGTTATTACACATAAGTGATCTGAACAACTTCCTTGGGATCTTAGTAGGCCATATGGCTTGACTAAGAGAGTTTTGTAAACAGCATCAAGGGTGGGTGACACTGCAGTCAAAGGAAAAAACAGCCCATACTCTTCTTCATTTTTCCATAATGGGAAAAGGGATACAACAAAGGAACAAGGAAGGTGCAACCCCCCGATTCTATACCAACTACCACTAGTGGGAATCATTTGTGGGTTCCCAAGATAAAAGCTAGCAGATTTTTTTCTAATTCTGTAGCAATTTTCAGAGGTTATAGTTTAGAAGATATATTAAGTTACTAATATTTGACATCCATTGAAAAGGAACTCCAATTCATAGTGTCTCTTGAGATAAACAGTAGCACAAGGTTTTGAGCCACTATTTGGAATAGGGCTTGGGAAAATTTAGTAAACGGTTATTTGCCAAGTAGTTACTCAACTTAATAATTCATTTATCAATCTGGAGAACTACATCAGACCAAATGCTTCAATCTCAGGCACACACAAAACCATAACCTGCAAAACACTGAATAGTTATCATGACTATACAAAGAACAAGCAAGACAGTCATCAATGGAAGTACAAACCAACTTGAACTCTGATGTGGGGAGTAATACAGTCCATGACCCTTACTCCTGACTTAAAACACTTCAGGAACCTATAAAGAGAACAAGGATTTCACATATACTTTAAGAAGGATTGCTAACTGTTCTGCCCTGGATGATAAGGGAAGAGACATACTGACCACAGACACTGTACATGTTGACTATTAAAACATTCTCAAACATACAGAAAATATTCAATTCAAGATTTTTGTCCACTTATTATGTATATGAAGGATTTTAAACACAAAGTTAGATATTACAGAAAACACACTTTATATATCTTTCACTACAGTTAAATTTACCTTTGGATACCATAAAAATGTCGGCTAAGATTTTCTGCAAAGACAATATCTGAATTTTGAATTGTGGGTTCCATTGATGGTCCAGAACACTGAAAAGAAACGCAACCTTCTGAGTTCAAATCTTTTTAAATTTAACACAAATCATTTGGGAAGACTTAAAAGAAAGAAAACCGAGTGAATGTCCTTCCTAGAGACAGACCATATTATAACTGTTTGATGTTAATTTATAAGATACACACAAAGTAACATATCTCTGCTTCTAATTTTTGGCCACTCTATAGAATACTAAATAGCTATGTAAGTTTCACAGCTATGTAAAGATTCCATCATCAAGAAGAGTACTTAATGCTTGATACATATTTGTTGCATGAATGATGGGCTTCTTTGGTTTTCTCAGACATCACTTAGTACCCATTGTGGCAATTTTTAAAGCAACATTACACTGGTTATTTTCTGAGAACTGACATCCTTCTTCCTCATCCAAGAAAATGGCTATTCGGTCTTATGGAGCCAGATCTTATATTTACTACCAACACAATGAAATGTACTCTAAAGATATTTGTGACTGTTGCCAAAACAGAACAATTTTGATATATGCCTAATTCTGGAATATTGATTGCCACTTAACATAAACAACACAGTCTTCATCTCCTCTATCATTTATGTGTAAATACAAAATTTTACTCAAAACTTTCTACTTAGGCAAAATAATAAACATTTAAATAAAATAGTAAATAACAATGAAGTTTAGGTTTGCTACTTCTAGAAGCACCAATGTCAGTGCCAAGACTTAATGGAAGGAGTGTTAGTTATATATATTTATATCCTTCACTTCAGCTCAAATAAGGAATATTATAACTACCAATCTTTCAGGGTAAAACTAGTATAAAAATAACAACAGCCCAAAAAAACCTATTGGCTATCCAGTCGGCCAAATATTGTTTTATTTACATAACAAAGATTTGAAAATTCCGAGTTTTCAGATTTGTGATGTGAAACTAAGAACAAGCATTGCTTAGGGAAAGAGCCAGTATTAACATTTTGTTACTAATCTTAACAGAATAATCATTTGCTTTAATGACAAACTTGATAGTCATGAGTAGATTTTAGAATCAGACAAATTTGTGTTGAAATTCTACCTCTCTTACCTACTAATTGTAGGACCTGGAATGAGTTAGTTTTCTGAGCTCGGGAGTTTCTTCTTGAATTCCTCACACAAGTGCAACAGACAATGTAAGATAGTAAGTTTACAGCTTCAACCATATTCCAGAAAACATAAACAACACTCAAGTGATAACTATTTATAGTCAAGCTAACAAGAGGACTGTTTGTGTCCTGCCAGATACAGAACATAAAGATTCAATGGTTCTTACATTTTATTCTGGTGCTGATGCAAACATACCCTTTTTACTTATTTGCTTGGTTTTTATTATTTACATTATTTGTGTGTGTGTACACATGTGTGTGCATGAGCTCATGTGTGTATGTTTGTACCTGCCACAGAGTGTCCACGGAGGTCAGAGGACAACTTGTGAGAATCATTTCTGTTTCTACCATGTGGGTTCCGGGTATCAGACTTGGTGGCAAGCACATTACCAGCTGAGTCATTTCACTGGCCCTGATTATTTTTGAGACAAAGTTTGTTTTGTTTTATGATTATGGAGGGATTGGGTGGGGGCTACTTGTAACAAAGTCTTATTATGCACCCCAGGGTGGATTTGAACTCAGTATGGAGCCCAGCCCACCCTTAAACTCAGATTACAGGTGCCTCAGATTACAGATTACAGGTGTATGTCATTAATATTTAGAAAGTTTTTATGTTTTGATTTCCATGAACTGACTTCAAGGAAAAGTTCTTTTTAAAAATCCATGTCTTGTCCCATTAAAAATATCTGTATTTGAAAATGAAATTCCTGTATGTAAAAACTTACCATTACAACACCACCAACATATTCAAAAGCACAATGAGCTATACACCCATACTGAATGGTATAGCCAGCAAGTCGAAAGGTCTTTCCCAGAACACCACGAAGCATAGTTTGACGTTGCCTCTGCCACCACTGGCCTGATGGTGAATTTAAAAAAATTTGATGATCAACATTTCTTAAAACAATTCAGAAAGAGTTCTAGTGCAAAGAAAGCATGAACATAAGCCAGGTTATTTTCATTTGTCACCAATCATTTAGGTGACTGAATTCATCACATAGATAACCAGCATCTCATAAACCACTGTATAAGCCTATTACGAAAGGGAAGTTCCTTAGATAAGCATGAGCACAGCCACAGCAGAACAACTCACCCAATCCTTGAAATCTTTAACAATGTAATCTCAGAAACCACCAAAATCATAGAGTCATTACTAACACATAATTTAATCTCCCTACACACACACACACACACACACACACGAGAGAGACAGAGAGAGAGAGAGAGAGAGAGAGAGAGAGAGAGAGAGAGAGAGAGAGAATACCATTATTCTTCTTCTATTACATGTCTCTCTCCTCATTTAATGATCTTAAAGTCCACCTTTGCTTTTTTCCCGTGGATCCTGGAATTCTTTTCTGTAGCACAGAAACTCCAGCTTCACCTGAAGGGAGGTTTCAGAAAAGAATTCCAGCTGCAACAGACAGCAGAACAGTGCAGCATCTCCTGCTTTGGCTGGCAGCTACTGACTATTAATTTAATAAACAAACAAGTACTATGAAAGGGCACGAACTTTATATATATACATATATACGTGTGTGTGTGTGTGTGTGTGTGTGTGTGTGTGTGTGTGTGTGTGTGTGTGTGTGTGTGTGAGATGCATGCCATTGGCAGACATCTGGAAGTCAGAGAACAACTTTCTGGAGTCAATTCTTTCCTTCCACCATGGGTTGAGAGGATCAAACTCTGGGCATCCAGCTTCTGTAGTTACATAAGCCCTTTCAGGTGCTGAACCATTCCTGGTATCTATTCCTTCCTTTTGAAAGATTCCTTACAACTGTTTAAGGAACGTATCCTTCCCAGACTCAAGCCCTTGTTCAGTATAGTCCCTGCCAGCCTAGGATTACAAGTTTGTGCTACCAAGTCTGGTTAATAATAAATTACTTTTCTCTCTCTTCTTTTTGTTGAGGAGGGGCGCTGAGACAGTCTTACTCTAAAGCTCATGGTGGTCTTGAACTCAAAATGATCCTTCTGCCTCAGTCTCCCAAGTGCTGAGATTACACATATGTACCACCAAACTCAGTCAAGCATTAAATTCCTTAATATTATACTAGATAGAAAGTTGTTTATAGGAGGTAAGCACTGATTATTCAGAACAAATATCACATTTGCAATATCTTTTCATATAGTTCACTTCTATAACTGACTATATATAAAAAGCAGACAAATAGATATAAATAAATTCCTATAAATCTATACATATGTGTACTGGATAGTTTGATGTCAACGTGACAGAAGCTAGTCATTAAAGGAAGGAACCTGAATTGAGGAAATGCCTCCATAAGATTAGGCTGTTAAGGCAAGCCTGTGAGACATTTTTTTAAATCTGTGATTGATAAGGGAGGATGCAGCCCATTGTGGGTGGTGCCATGCCTGGGCTGGTGGTCCTGGGTTCTATTAGAAAGCAGGCTGAATAAGCAATAAAGAGCAAACCAATAAGTAGCACTGTTACATGGCCTCTGCATCAGTTCCTGCCTCCAAGTTCCTGACTTGTTTGAGTTCCTGTCTTGACTTCCTTTGATGATGAACTGCGATGTGGGAGTGTAAGGGGAATAAACCCTTTCCTCCCCAACTTGCTTTTTGGTCACAGTGTTTTATTACAGATGTAATAACTCTAACTAAGACAGTATGTATATACAGGGGATTAGGAAAAGTTACTATGGAAAAGGTTTATTGTTAAATTCAGGCTACATATATATGAATGTATACTGTACTGTCTTTTCAACTTTCTTTGTAAAAACAAAACAAAGCAAAACACCTTTTTATTACGGTCACATTATAGCCTAGACTTGCCTCAGTATCCTAACTGTTGAGAGGGTCATGTGTTACCAAACACAGCTGTAAATAAACCTTTCTTAGAATAAACTCTTTGGCCAACAAAGAGGTGTCTTCAAGTAATTCATTAATTCATTCAACAAGTATTAATTAAACTATTGCTATATTGCAAACATGATAGACTGAGTTCATTCAGTTCTAGAAATGCAATGGTGAATATGGTGCCATCTTCATAAAGCTTATAGTTTGCTGGGACAGATATTATATACATACAAAGGAAATAAAAAGCATATACATATATTAAGTGATTTCCACAATGAAAAAATATGATAAAGTAATTGAAAACAATGAGTTATCTGTTTAGAATGTATAGAATGATTTCGCTCTAACTAAGAGAAATGTTAGTTTCTAAAAGAAAACATAAGAAAATTACAAGCAGACAATGACATGAATGTGTGACAGACCTGAAAGAAAACTGATCAATGAAAAATATAATGATACTCAAGAGACAGGAAAAGGCATTCAAAGTCTCAAGGAGTTTGAACTTTATTCCAAGAGTAATGGGAAACTACTAACCAGTCTTAAGCAGAAAGAGTATATAATCGCTCTGCCATATCATTTTTACTATTTTTATTTATCAACTGAAGGACATTTAGATTATGATTTTTGCAATTATCAACAATGTTTCCATAGCTGTACATATTCTAGGCAGAAGTATGTTTTCAGTTCTTTTGAGTTTAAATTTAGAAATCTGGAATTGTGGTCACATGGTAATGCTATGCTGAACTTTACACAGAACTCTTAAATTGCTTCTCAAAGCAGCTGTAATCTTTTACATTTTTTACCAGAAATATATAATCATTTCATTTTCTTAATAATAATATCCATTTTATTATTGCCCCCTAATAAATACATGATGTGATAGCTTCAATGTGACATTGATTTTCATTAGTTAATAAATACTTTTAGTTAATAATACTTAGTTAATAAGTATTTTCCTATGCATATTGGCTATTTGTCTATCTTTGAAAAAAATGTCCACTTAAACCATTTGGTCACTTTTATAATCAGGTTATTATAATTTTAAATTTAGTTGAATTAAAGATTCTAAGCATGATATGAAACATTCTCACAATCCCAACATTAATGAAGCTGAGGAAGAATGATCTTGAGTTCAAGGCCAGGTTGTGCTACACAGTGAGACACTTCCTCAAAAATAAAACTAAACAGAAACCATTATATAAGTTTACTAAGAAGATTAAACTCAGCCTAAAAGAAGACAAACTGGTAACTAAAACCTGAAAACAGGCAGACAAAGAAGGAAAAAAGTAGCATCAGAGATCTAAAGGAAAAGAGAAGTAGGTCATGTGGTGTTAGTTTTAATCATCAACTTGGCAGAATCTAGAAGCACTTGGGATTCTCCATGTGGAATTGTCTAGATTAGGTTAGCTTTTCAACCCTATAGAAAAGTGAGGTAGCTATTGGTACACATGTTTTTGTTTTCTCAATCAAGTCATGAGTTGAGATCAAGAATTCCTAACCTAAAGCTAACCAGTAAGCTAAGAGTTAGTTACAGACTTGTTATTGTTTATGACTGCTGTAACAAATTACCATAAATCTAGCAGTATAAAACAATACAAAAATATAAACTCACAGCTCAGAACTGTCTACAAATCTCACTGGTTAAAATCAAGGTGTTAGCAAAGGTGCTACGTCCCTTCTAGACACTTTAGGTAAAAATTCTTTTCTTGGCCTTTGCTAGCTTCTAAAGCCACCAGCATTCCTTGCTTCAGGGTCCCTTTCCTTTCCCCTCAAAGCCTTGCATTTCCCCATCACTATATGGTCCCCTTCCCAATCTCAAGTCACTTACAAAGACCCTTGTAACTATATTCACCTCGTAGTAATCTATGATGACTGAGGTTCTTATTTTAATCCTATCTTCAGACTCCTTTTTAGCAAGTACAATAAAGTATTGGCCCGTTCAGGGATTAGTAGATGAAAATCTTTAGAGGGCCGTTCTTCCTATACTAACATATCAAAGTAAAAATTATCCAACTGTATTTCCAAAAAGCAGAAAATGGCATCAAGTGGCAACCTTTGGAATATAAATTCAAATTCTTGGGGCAAGACCAAGATATATAGTTATATACTCTGAGAATGAGGCCTGTTCTACATTAACAAGTCTTCCTTTCCAGGTGACTCAAAGTACAGCAACATTTGAAAACTACTTTCTAAATTTTCAAGGAGGCCATGATCACCTGTAGCCTCAGAAACTTGCTTATCTAGTCATGCACTGCCACGTGCTATATAGTTTACCATATCTGAGCTATGCTGAAAGCAGAGGTGTGTAGGAGGAAACGTGTTCCGGCATTAACCATGTTACTTATTAGAGGCGCATACAGATGAGGTAGTAAAACGGCAGTTTACCTCACCGCTAACCACACCCACTTTAGGCATGACTAAAGACATATATGGACGTAGGCAGTGAACTATGTCACTAGCCAGGCCCACTTTTGGGCATGGCTAGGGGCATTATGGAGGAAGGTATAAAAGACTGAACAGCGGAAGTCTAGCTCTCTTTTTCCGGCTTTCCAGCTTCTACTTCAGCAGTGGAAAACTACTCGGCTCATCTGGGTTACTTGTTTGTCTCTTGTGAGTAATTTCTACAATAAATACTTATTTCTACTTTCAGTAAGTATGCCGTTTATCATTGCAGCATCAGAGGTGGGGAGTGTGAGCATTTAAAATTGAACCCAGGCTGCCGAGCATGCCAGGCAGCACCTACCACTGAGACACAGTTCCACATTTTTTCACATTCTCACTAATTTGTTGAGGCTGGCTGGCCTGACTCACCTTGTAGCCCAGGCAGGCCTTGAATCTGCAAATTTCTTGCTTCTACTTCCCGAGTAGCTGGGATTACAGGCTTGTACCTTCAAGTCTATGCTTCAGAATTCTAAGTGTACCTATGAAACAGAAGATGACAGCTTTTATTCCCTATTATACTTAAATGTTCTAAAACCTAAGTTATTAACAAATCAATTCCTTTAAAGAACATGCATTTTATCAAAATAATTAGTGGGAAAGGTAAGAAAAATCTAAAAATGTTCATAAATGGTGATTGTCACAAGACATACGGAATGATCTTCCTTAGAAATACAGCAAAATTCGGCCGGGCGTTGGTGGCGCACGCCTTTAATCCCAGCACTCGGGAGGCAGAGGCAGGCGGATCTCTGTGAGTTCGAGGCCAGCCTGGACTACCAAGTGAGTTCCAGGACAGCCTCCAAAGCCACAAAGAAACCCTGTCTCGAAAAACCAAAAAAAAAAAAAAAAAAAAAAAAATACAGCAAAATTCAAGTAATGTTGATCTTTTCATATTATTCTATATTACTGATAGGAAGATCTATAAGTTAGAAAGTATGCTGGAGCACATAGTTGACAACAGCTTCTTTTGATATATATGAGAAAATGTCAGGCACCAAATAACAGCAAGTCCTTATGTAGCAATGTTTTCTGTGTGCCAGGCACTGTTGTAACCACTCCACAGAGACTAACTCACTCCACACTTAGGCATCTCATTTTACAAATGAAGAAACCAAGGGGCAGAGAGTTTGATAACTCTACACCCTGCAGAACATAGAGCCTTTTGGCCCTAAATTCTCCATCTATGCTATACATCTCTCACTTTCAGGGAAAGAAATGTTTTAGCAGCTATCCAACAGATATATGGGAGTAAAGAGTCACATAGAAAAAAGAGAAGTTGGACTTGACAGTAAACCAACAAAAACTGAACAATGTAAATTTCAGAAGACAGACACAAGTTAAAAGATTCCTCTGTACATGGATGTTTGAAGGCATAGGTACCAACTCTACAACCCTAATTGAGATCCAATGGCTGAAATAGACTAAGTGATTTTAGACTTCTTCAAACCTCAAGTAGCCTACAAATGATGACTTAGGCATGGATTTCTTTGAGAAAGCATTTTGTTTCAACATAAAGAAAAAATTTCATTTGTCAAATATTGACACTACAGGTTTTCAGGCATTTAAGAAGACAACTAAAGAAATGATTAATACTATTTTATTATCATTCCTGCACTGATTACAAGACGAGGACTCACTGTAACTTATATAAATGAGTCTATTAGCAGGGCACAGAGTGTGGTGAATCTCAGTCCTGGGAAGTGGAGGTAAGCAGATCAGGAATTCAATGTCATTTTCAGTTATACAAGAAAAAAATGTTTTTTGATTTTTCAATGTAGGGTTTCTTTGTAGCTTTGGAGCCTGCCCTGGAACTCTCTCTGTAGACCAGTCTAGCCTTTGAACTCAGAGATACACTTGTTTCTGCCTCCCGAGTGCTGGGATTAAAAGTGTGTGCCACCACCACCCAGGCTAATACAAGGAATTTAAGGCCAGCCTGGAATAAATGAAACCCTTGTTCAAAAACATATAGAACATGTATTTACATTCATTTGGGCCAGAAAAAATTACTTTGACATATCGAGATGAAATTACTTTTAAAAAAACATTTTCCCATAGAAAGATGAATATAAACCAGCTGTAAGACATATGTTCATCTCAGATCCTTATGGAGGTTATTGTGATAAGTAGGGAACAAAGGCTTATCAATATACATGACTGCTGCATAGTGAATGCTGCTCAATAGCTAAGTCACTTACTTTCACACAGCAGCCTCTCCAACAAGTAATTCAAATTCCTGCTATATAAAACTCACCCTTAGGACTGCTCATGAATTGACCAAATCTATAAACATTAAATCTACTGTAAGATTTATCCAGAGGTTACTTTTCATATCCCCAAACTGCAAAGTCAGGCATCTGATCTCATAATCTATTGATATTTTATTAAGCTTTTTTGTTTTATTCTAAGAGGAAAAAATTCAGCATCATCCTCAGGCTTAAAGAACTAAACACTGTTTCACTATGACTGCAGTATCAAAATAACCTCACAATTGAATATCAAACAAAATAAAAAATCCCTAATTCAAATTCTCATGTTCTTGTCATAGCACTAATAATGAATCCTTGGGAGCAAAGAGACAGAATTTTAAGTTTTAAAAAGTCCTAGGAAGGAAACCCTGAAAAGGACTTTGTGCTGATATTTGAGGTCATGGAAGACTGCTCAATATTTTTAGAAATACAATTAGATTCAACTATTCTATTTTAAACTGTGAATTTTGAGGATAATTCTATAAATTTCCTAATCGATGGGAGTTATAATGAAATCTATAGCATACTATTTCAATCAGTTTTATCAACCACATCAACATTCCCTTAAAAGTACTATTGTTACAACCATCTAAAATCAAACAGATATTAGGTACATGATGTTTTCATGAACAGTTTCTATCATTCCCAGACTGTTTTGTTAAACTTAACATCCCTTTCAAAAAATGTACACTTTTTCTTACTGTATATTCCATTATTTTATCTCCCAAAAGACCTGAACTTTTATTGACATCATTATGTATCATGCATTCTGCAAATTAAATTAGTATTTACCTTTCCAAGACAAATCAAATTTAGAGGTTAGCAACAGAGTACTACATTAAAATGACCTATGTGTATACAAAAGAATTTATAACATTGGCAAGATATTGCATGTTCATGTTGAATTTAATCAAGATGTACTTATTTTGGGCCTTAAGTGAAAAAAAAATGTTCTAATAGATATAAATGGCACCTAGGAAGCAAACTCTAAAGAGCCACTAAGTAAATAGCTTAACTTCAAGTATAAATTTCTGCTCTGATCAATAAGAGCAACCTTCTAGATAGATCTTGAAAATAACTGATACTTTAAAAAACAATTACACAATCTTAATTATCATAGAAAATTGTCCTGAGATAGTAAACTACCTGACTAAATAATATAAGTGATATCATGATGAAGACATAAAGATTTTAGTGCCTTTATTTCATGGAAAGCTTTTCCTAATAATAAAATTTTAAGTAAATAATTTTTCAAATAGTAAAAATACATAGTTCAGGAGAAATACTGTTAAGGTTTCCCACCTATTCATTTCAAATTGAGTAAAATGAAGAAGTGCACTTACAACATAGTAGGCTGAAACTAGTTCCACCAAATCCAGTAAGAGTATTGCACTTGCAGGGAGAGTTGGCAGAACTCTATTTACACTTACATTCTATTTGATGACTTTCAAGTAAAGACTATAGAAGATAAAAGGAACCACCTACAAACAGACACTATAGGTACATATGTAAAGTGACTGCGCTTTACTCATATTACGACAACATTTTAGTCACCTATATAGAGCTAAAAATTTTAAGATTAAAATATTTAGACCAGAATTTTTATAATCTATTTTTGAAATGTAAAGCTACTAGATCAAGCAGCACAATGAGATATACGTCAAGTCCTATGAATAAATATTTTTAAATTAACTACTTTGAGATCATAACACTGACAACACTAATTATCTTTTCTTGTCTCAGCAGTTATGGTGCATACTGTTTGGGTGACTGACGGGATAATTTCTCTTAATTTTCTCTCAGTTTATTCTGAATAGTATAAGAGAAGAATATTAAAACAATTAATGTCTCTAAACAAAGTATTTGATAAGGTTTTGGGTTGAAATAAAATGTTAAAAAAGTTAACCAATGGACTGATTCTAGAGTGATGGCCTCACTGGGCAGCAATGGACTGCTGAATGAAAGCTGGACTGAGAACCATTGATCTCTAGAAACTGTCACTTAGCACTGTATTAACTCTCCTCAGCCTTGGCCATGCTGAAATGTATTTCTCACAAAGACCCATTTCATTACCAGTTTGAGCTAATATTACCTAAATATCAAAATATGTACTACATATTTTAAATTACTAAATGTCTATAGTACCAAAAATTGTCATCTGCAATTCAAACAATCAAAAACAGGTAAAATGTATGTCAAAACAAACTATTTTCAATGTCTTACATCTATGAATATTTTTATTTTATCAATAATGATCCTATACTAAAAGAACATAACAATACTTAAATTAATATTCAATCTCACATACAAATCTTTACTAACAGCAATTATTTGGTCACTCAACTAGAAAAAAGTATAAGACATATGAACCAAGTTTTATATTTGAACAATTTAATAAAATTTGAACCATATGATGCTCAGTTTGTGTATGCCACAGAATTTATAAATCATACTACTTAAACATACATATTACAGTAAAAGATATACTCTGGTTTTTTGTTGTTGTTTATAAAATTAATCACAGTTAGCAGGGCAGAAATTGCTTTGAGCTTCATGAATGACATCCAAGAGATGGGAAAGGATTAGTTCTCAGTTGCTGCCAGTTATAACGCCAGGTGGCTTTTTCTGCAGTGAAGGTGTTACCGATAATCCCATTACACTGGTACTAAATCTTGCAGACATCAAAATTATCACCAAGGTTCCTTTTCATCCCATCCTTTCCAAATGACTGGAAGTCGCTTCACCTGAAAGAAGTCAAATCCACATGCAGCTGCTGTTTTAGCAGGCAGCAAACTCCCTGAGAATGCCAGTCATGATTCAATTTTGCTGCGCTGGTGGCCCCCTATTCCCTGTCCAATAATACATCTGTTAAAAAATCCTACAGCTACAAATCAAGTTTAATCCTACCAGGGACCTCATGTTGGTCTTGTCTTCCAAAAAGGCAGCAGGGTCTGCTGTCTATCTCTGCTAGTGTCTAGGGAATACCCTTTAAATCCCAGTCCTACTTAGAAGAATAAGCTAAGGATCACAAAACATGACCTCAAAAACCCTGATATGACTATATTCTGACCCAGAGGCATTCATTCTAGGTGAAGATTAGAACTTTGCATAATAAGATTACACAGCAAGTGAATGATATCAAGGGACTATCCATATGCAGCCGCCTGGTTCTGTATAGACAGCCTGTGCTGCACAATATGCACTGCCGAGAAAGAGCTGGGTCTTTCTAGCTGAAA